TTTTTTTTTTTTTTTTTTGTACTTTCAGGCTGGGGCTGGGTTTGAACCCACCACCTCTGGTATATGGGGCCAGTACCCTACTCCTTTGAGCCACAGGCGCCACCTAGAGATCTATAAATTTTATATACTCATTTATTTGTCCCAGCAACCTTCTGGGATAGGTTACTATTACTATACTCATTTTATAGATGAATTTGGAATACAGAGTGCTTAACTAGATTATCCAGGTTTGCTTAGCCAGAAGTGGTGGAGTCCGTACTTGAACCCAGACTCTGTCCACAATTCTAGTCATTATGCTGTACTTACTGTACTATGTAGTTTCTGGATCATATATGGTTATTTGGTGCCCACGCTTCTACAGAACCCTGTCTGAGGAGTTTTAATTTGTGTTTTGTCATCTCCCTGTAATGATATAAATGGCACTAACATGTATGTAGGCTGAGGACAGTTAATGTCAGGCTCCACTGGGATAGGAGAGGACTGCTGGATAGTGGACTCTGGAGACAGGAGCTCAGCTCGGTGACACGGAGTGGTAGGGATCAGATCCAACACTTTGTTGGCTCTTCGTGTGAACTTTTAGATGCTTATAAAGTTTGCTCATTGTGGGGTGGGTGTTTTTCTTTTTTTTGGCTATGAACCTCATCTAACCTGCTTTCTAGTGACTACCATAAAAAACAAGAATACCTCAGAGCTCTCCGGAAGAAGGCGCTTGAAAAAAATCCAGATGAATTCTATTATAAAATGACTCGAGTTAAACTCCAGGTGGGTACCTAAAGGATCATTTGGTGTTTTGAGCTCCAACTGTTGGGAAATAAGGATGGGTGTGATGATGGAGAGAAGGGTCCGTGGTCTTAGTTTAGCCTTCTTCCAGTTACTCCAGAAGCTCTTGGTCAGTGTCAAAGGCACATCTTCCCCCTAGTGAGAAGTGTGCATTTCTGCCTTTGAATCTGAGTTATCTTATGTGTGGAGCTGTCCTAAGAATGGAGGTGCTACATCAAATATGCACTCAGGGGCAGGGTGCTTTGGGCTGCTGTTAGCTTATAGCATTGGTTTGTCTGTATACTAACTGGGAAGTATGCCAACAGCTTACTCATAATTTTAGTCTAATGAGGACTATATCTTTGAATTTGGATTTTAGGATGGAGTTCATGTTATTAAGGAAACTAAGGAAGAAGTAACTCCAGAACAGCTAAAGCTGATGAGAACTCAGGATGTCAAATATATAGAAATGAAAAGAGTTGCAGAAGCTAAGGTAACAATTAACTCTCTGTTCTGATGTACTTAACTGTTGGTTAAGAAAGGAAACTTAAATCCATCAATCTCAAGTTATCATTTGATTTCTTCTGAGATTTACAATCTCACTTGATTGTGATAAAGATCTAGAAGCCTCGTCAGTCAACATGGTGGAATGTCAAGAATTCAAGTCTGGCCTGTAGTACCAGCTACTTGGGAGGCTGAGGCAAGAGAATCACCTAAGCCCAAGAGCTAGAGGTTGCTGTGAGCTGTGGTGCCACAGCACTCTGCTTGCTGAGGGCGACAAAATGAGACTCTGTCTCTTAAAAAAAAGAAAAGAACTGTTTGTCTCTTAGGTGCTTGTGAGAGTTCTTTCCTAGTACTGGGATCAGTCCTTGGTGATGCACGTTTTTGACCAGCCAATCATTTGGTCATTAAATTTGTTTATAATAAAAAAAAAAATAGAATTCAAGTCTGGGAATGAGGCAGGCATGGATGGGTTTGGATTCTGGTACTGCCATTTTCTAGCCCTATAATGATGGCAAGTTAACCTTTCTGAGGCTGTTTCCTTGTTTCTCAGAGGAGTGTCTCACCAAGTACCTAATGGGTAGTTGGTGCTTGATAAATTTTAGTGGTTCTTTTTTTTGCTGTTTTTGGCTGGGGCTGGGTATGAACCTGCCACCTCCGGCATATGGGGCTGGCGCCCTACTCCTTTGAGCCACAGGCGCCGCCCAATTTTAGTGGTTCTTTTCTTTAAACTAATGAAGAAAATTTTTACTGCCTGGCAAATATGATATGAAATAGTTTAAACTTTTTGCAAATTTATTTTTTATGTCCCCGAGACCCCCATGTAAAGGAGACCAATTTTCTGTGTTCTAGAAAATTGAAAGACTAAAATCAGAGCTCCATCTGCTGGATTTCCAGGGGAAGCAACAGAATAAGCATGTGTTCTTTTTCGACACCAAAAAGGAAGGTATGTGAAATGTTTGAAGATTTCTGGGACAGTCTACCATATCAGTCTGTGTTGTTTGCTGTTAGAAATAGGCAGTGCCTTAAGGATTATCTTGAATTTTAGTTGAACAGTTTGATATTGCAACTCACCTGCGTACGGCTCCGGAACTAGTGGACAGAGTCTTTAATAGACCCAGGATAGAGACATTGCAGAAGGAAAAAGTGAAAGGAGTCACTCATCCGTCTCGACTTAAGGTAATTTTTTTCTGTTGTTGTTTACATGTGAGTTTAGGGGAATGCCAGTTCCTTTTTTTGCCCCTGCATTTAACATAAGCCGTTTATAGAAAACTCATTAAGTTTGCTTAGAAAAGTAGAGGGAGGATTTGATGATGGGGATAGAAGTAAGTGAAAGGTTCCTTGGTTTCTAAGATTGGAGGATGTGTGGTATAGTGGTTAGGAGCTTAGGTTCTGGCCTCTAAATCTGGTTTGACTCCCAGTTCTTACCCTGAGCTTTGTGCTTTTAATGCTTGTAATAGATACCAGCATTTTTAAAGTGCAGAGAAAAGAGGGGACATTGGGGATTAAGGGAGTTAGTATACTGTGGCAATGATTCTTTGGCAGTGAACACAAATATCAGGTCTTTCTTTTTTTTTTTTT